TTTACCTTTAGTGGGCTTGTTACCAGGAGCACTTGTGGTTGTGAGTCCTGTCATGTTTTGGGGCAGACTGGATTGTCTTCGGGGCTTTGTTCTGTGGAGCAGGCACTAGGGCAAGGTTCTGCTATATGGTGGGCCTAATAGCAGATGTGTGAGTGAGTGTGGCTCCACTGAGTACCTAGCAGGGTTTCCCCAGGTCATCTACCAACAGGGACTTTTGAACTGTTTTGTGTGGGTCACAAGGATGATGTCCCCAGCTTTTTTCTCATTCCTCGTGATTGGTTTGGCCTTTCAGCCTACTTTGTAGGCTTGTATTTTCTATTACTATGAAAAGTGAGACAGGGATTTTGATAGGGATTTGAGTTAACTTACAGATTGCTTTGGATAATTTGACACCTTATTAACCAAAGGCCCTGCCTTCCAAAAGGACTCTTCTTGATCTTGGGTTTTAGCAAGGTTTTATAATGCCCTGTATCCCGAAGCTCACTATATTGCCCGGGCTGTTCTTGATCTCCTGGCCTGAAGCAGTCCTCCTGCCTCAGGCTCCTGAATGGAGGAGATACTGTCATGAGCCACTGTGCCTGGCTCTCTCATAAAGTTACTTTGGTAGATGGATGGCTGACTAGTTTTTATTCCTGCAGGGGAATATAAAAATAGGGACCCCCATCCCACCATCTTGATAATGTCACTGTCTCCATACATTTCTTCCTTATTTTGTTCTCTTGTATGTTTGTGTGTTATTTTGGGTTCAGACATTAAGAACAATAGGCTAGGATTTATACATTGTGTAAAAAGTAAATTAGATAGCTGGTAGGTACCCTATATATATTATAATGTTCACCTATAAGATTAAGTTTAGTGCAGGCAAAAAGGGCTCATTAAAATTTTCATCCACTTTTTTCAACCTCTACCCAAACTATAATATAATTTATGCCCCAATTTTTATTTTATCAATTACTCTTAACCGTATTTCACAAAATTTATATTTTTTCTTTATTTAGAAATGTAAGGCTATTATTTGCTTTTAAAGGCTGTATTACAGCTTTTTTATTTTGTGAAATAATAGCACCAATATATTAATAATATAAATATTTATAGTGTAAATAGTTATTCATCAAAATTTTCCCATTAGAGAATTTTATTAATTATTGTAGTGCATTCTGTAAAATTGTACTACCACACAGCACAGGGCAATGATTCAGAATGCCTGCTCTTCACAGACGCACAGTCACAGTTGAACATTGTGGTTATTTAGAAAAATTATTTTCTAGTGTTATATCAATGTTCCAAACAAGATTTTATAGGTAAATGTTTCTCCCATTCTAGTTTTGCAATTCCATGTTAACTATATTTTTATTTTAGGGTAGGTTCCTTGACATTGGTTTATCGTATTTTTGGCTTTACCTAAGTATTATTTTGGATGACAATGTGCAACTTTCAATGTACAGTTTATGTCAATGTGCAGTTTAATTACAATATGAATCAGCCATATCTTTATTCACAATTCAAGCTTAGCAAACTTAATGAAAACTAAGCAAATGTGACATGATAAAGCCCCAATCAGCTATCTTATACTTAAGCAAATACACCAAAAAATAGTTTGTAGCTTTATTGTTGCTTTTGTTCAAACTATGTTTTATATTCTCCATGACCAAGGAAATTTCTGATATTGTCCTACCAGGCTAAAGAAACGAACAAGCCGGGCGCGGTGGCTCACGCAGCACTTTGGGAGGCTAAGGCGGGCGGATCACAAGGTCAGGAGATCGAGACCATGGTGAAACCCCATCTCTACTAAAAATAGAAAAAATTAGCCAGGCGCAGTGGCGGGCGCCTGTAGTCCCAGCTACTTGGGAGGCTGAGGCAGGAGAATGGCGTGAACCCGGGAGGCGGAGCTTGCAGTGAGCCGAGATTGCGCCACTGCACTCCAGCCTGGGCGACACAGCGAGACTCCGTCTCAAAAAAAAAAAAAAAAAAAAAGAAACGAACAAAAAGACGATGATTATACTTCCAAGTAGCAGGTTGTTTAGGCCCCAGATATTCCATATGTGGACCACTATGCTCATATTTGTTTGTTTTAATAAGGCTGTGGTCCAAAACCTTACATTTTTGTAGAAATTAAAGCTTTTCAATTCCATAATAAAGACAGAACAGCCCCATGATCTAAATCTAAGGGTGATGGCTCAGAGTGAGGACCATTTCTTGTTGACATGGAGATGGTTGAGTTGGTCTACAATAAATCTATGGGAGAAGCAGGTTGTGATGACTTGGAAGTGTTGGCTGCCTTCATGGTCTCAAAAGTTCTCTGCCAAGTTCACCTCAGCTCTGCTGTACTCTTGTTCCGCTGTCAGGTTGGGAATGCTTGGCCAGTAGTGGTTCTCCACATGGTCCTCAACTGCTGGTGCTTCCCTGATCCACTGCCCCAACCTGGGCCATGTGCCCACTGCATAGATATGCTTGTACTTGCTCCCCTAGGACAGACTCCCTTTTCTTCGGTTGGAATGAGGGATGGGAAGATTTGGTGGTATCCTGTACAGGTCAGATGTTAATATGATGTGGTGCTCTTAGAGAAGCTTGCCTGAGTTCGGCGCTTTCTCAGCACGTGGTGTGTGCTGCCCCTTCGAGCTTCAGAAGTCCCAGAAGGAAAGTGCTTCTGCAACCCCCGTTTACCGGTGAGCAGAGGTCAGGTGATCTGCAGCTGACCAAGCAGCTGCTAAGTGGCCAACAAGCTGGATCTGCCTCTCAGTTGCGGAGGCCCTGCCTGGCTGCTGGGGCCGCCCTGAGACTCCCTCCTCCTCCTCTTCCCTCCACAGCTTTCCCGGCTTCTATCCACAGCTGTGCTCCAGGTGGGGAACACCGGTGGGTGCACCAGTGTGCAACTACTCAGAGCCCAGTGTGCTGCAGGGCCCGTGTTCTATGCTGTTTCCATATCCAAGCCCAAGCTTGTCTAGAGTCTCAGCAAATCCAAGCCTCCCTGAATTCCCTGCAAGATCAAACTGAGCCCTACAACCCCACTACACTGGTTAGCTGCCAGTCGCAGCCCCTGCTCCCTCCTGGGCCCCTGTCCGTACAGTTCTGAAGTCCTTCAAGAATGTTGAGATCCTAAGCCGACTCTCACCCAAAGAGGTAAACAACCAGCGGCCTCCAGGGGTAGAGAACATACCCAGACAGGTTCTGCTGCCTGTAGGCTTGATGTCCTTCCGCTACAACCCGCCATGCTTGCCGGGCTGGAAGAGGGGCCCCAGAAACTTGGGAAACCTGGGCCTGTAGCTGGCATATGGAAAAGAGGCCTGGAAAAGCACCACTCCTGTCCATGAAGCCCCCACATGGAACCAGGTAATTGGGAAATACATGGGCACCCAGGCTGACCCCCACTCAGACCCACGTGGGAACTGCAGCAGTGACTTGCCCCCTCTGCCACTCTGGCTGCACCACTATAGGAGGGAGGAACATCTAGCCCCACGCATGAGTGGAGACACTAGGTGTGGGCAGGTTCCAGTGGTTGCTGCAACTGAACCTTCCCAACCAGGTCCATGCAAGGCCATCTCAGATGGGTGTGCACCTGGGTTGGGCAAGGACACCCCTCAGACAGTGAAAGTCACTGAGCAGGGCTGTCACAGAGGCCCCTTTTCCTGCTCCGAGAGCAGGTTGGGGGAGTATGAGGGACCTCTCCCCCTCCCAGCTGCTTCCAGGAGCCACTTCTTTAGAGATGAGGCACTCTCCTGCCTGCCTGTTCCCATTTGGCTGCAATAGACCATTGCCAACATTCAGAGAAAAAGGGGCCTCACCTGTTTCCCCGACACGTCGGAGGCAGGTGGGTATGTCCAGGGGACCTGGGGTGGAACCTGTACATGGGCCCACCCCCAAGCCATGCTGGCTTCATCTTATCTGTGTGATGGGGGTGGGGTGGGAATTACCAAGAGACCATCACACAGGCCATGGACAAGTTCTACAAGACCCAGGTAGAAAACCACTGTCCGTGCATGCTGCCCGGCACCCAGCTCACACACACACACCTCTTATTTGACAACTTCCCCAAAGCAGGCTTTGAAGTCCAGGCTCCCCGAGAAGCCTGGGGAGGAGACTTTGCCAGGCTAAAGGACCTATCCCCACAAGTCTCATCCTGACAATCTTGGGTTATTTTTGCCCTGAAGTTTTGGAGAGGGGGACAGGGAGACACAGACAGTACGCATTAGCCACCTTTCCAGAGAGCATCAGGCCTCCAGACTGCGGCAGGTCAGACCTCCACTCGGGCGTTTTTCTCACTGGCTGCCAGTTGGGGGAAGCAGCATTGTGAGCACCTGCCCGTCTCCCCAGGTCCTGTTCAGAAACGCCATCTGTGCCTCTGGAGAGACTGCCCCGAGCACACAGGCCCAGCAACCACCATCTATGGCCCCCAGGACCTAATCCCCTTCTACATAGGGGTCAGTGCATGTGAGTATACACTGGGCTTGATTCCTGCCCACTAGTCCCTGGCCAGATATCCCACACCCACCCCAAGAGAATGAGGCCACACAAACACACCCAGGCCGTCATGGTGATGGAGCGGCTGGGGTCCTGCTTGCCCACCCTTCATTGCTGGTTCAGAGCCTGACCACATTTCTATCCTGAGATGGGACTTTGGGGACATTGTCCACCAGGGTCACTGACCACTTTTACAGTTGCAGAAACAGAGGGCCAGCTGGTCCCCTAGAAGTCTGGAACATGAGATAAGCCAAGGCTTGCCTTCAGAACAGGTTTTCCACCACGTAGCCGTCCAAGGCCCAGGGCATCCCCAGGTTCATGTGGAGCCTGCCTGCCATGTCCACAGCCCATGCCGACCCCTCCTGGAGCCACTGGAATGCTTGTTCCTGGGCGTGTGATAAACCTAGACAGCTTCAGCCTTGCAGGACAACCATGCGCACCTGGCAGCAGTAGCCGGAGGGCCCATAGAAAGAAGTTGGAGGTGAAGCCAGATGCAATAAGAATAGTTTATTAGGCGAAATCGTATACTATAAAAATGCTTTAAAATGCAGGAGGAGGAGGTGAAGACACCAACAAGTGCGTAGTGACACATGGCAGTCAGAACACAGTAAAGAATCCACACTGCTTCCCCCCTTTACCTAGAAAAGGAAAGTTCTAGGCCTCCTCCTCCTCCTCAGCATACTCCTCAAACTCCTCCTTGGCCGTGGCATCCTGACGCTGTTGATACTCAGACACTAGGTCGTTCACGTTGATCTCGGCCTGGGTAAATTCCGTCTCATCCATCCCTTCGCCCGTGTACCAGTGGAGGAAGATCTTGCGCCAGTACCTTGCTGTAAACTGCTCTGAGACACGCTTGAAGAGTTCCTGGACGGCCGTGTTGTTCCCAGTGAAGGTGGCTGACATGTCTAGCCCCCGGGGTGGGACGTCACAGACGGCTGTTTTGACGTTATCGGCGAGCCAGTCAACGAAGTCCCTGCTATTTTTATTTTTGAGGTGGCACATTTGTTCATCCACCTCCCTCATGGGCATAGGACCCTTGAAAATGGCAGCCGCCGTTAGGTAGTGGCCATGACAGGGGTTGCACACGGCCATCATATTCTAGCATCAAACATCTGCTGGGTAAGCTCAGCCACGGACAGGGCCGGGTACTGCTGGCTGCCCTGGCTGGTCAGAGGGGCAAAGCTAGGCAGGAAGAAATGCAGCCGGGGAAACGGGACCATGTTCATGGCCAGCTTCCGCAGGTCAGCATTCAGCTGGCCTGGGAAGCGCAGGCACGTGGTGACCCCGCTCATGGTGGCAGACACCAGGTGGTTCAGGTCACCGTAGGTGGGTGTGGGCAGTTTCAGGGTCCTGGAACGGATGTCGTATAACGCTT